TCCCACAAAATAATTGTAGTTATTTAGGTAAATTGAGGGAACCAAACAAAAGATGGTCTTCATTGGCATAAGTTGGGTATATGGAAGGATGATTTGATTTTAGACAGAATGTATTTGAAATGGTGGTGGGACTACCATATGGAGATGTTCGTTAGAACCATGGGGCTTCAGCTGGAGTAGAGACAAAGCTGGCTGGCTTAGAAGTTATCTACATAGCAGTGATAGTTGAAAGCCTAGGAATTAATGTACTCTCCAAGGACAATGTTGAAATGGGGAAGAAGAGGGCTCAGAACTAAGTCTGGAGAAATACCCACATTTTGAGGACCAGATGAAAAAGAGGAGCAAGTAAGGAAAATGAGCTCTCTGTTAGTTCCCGATTATGTTTGGATCCTGGGTTTGGGGTGGTTTTTTGATTGCTCTATTTAATTCTTTCCATCTCTGGCCTAACATTCTTTTCCCTCAAAATCCTAAGGGGAAGTTCTGGTAAATGGAGCTGTTTCCCTTGGGAGGAGTAACAGGAGAGACTTATCAGCTGGAAGTTCTAGAACCACACAGGGCTCCGGTAGCAGCACCACTACTAAGTCACTTCTTCGGGGTTCAGTTTTCTCATCAGTGATTTTAGGCCTCAGTGGGTGTGAGGACAAGGTGGGGCACAATACAGCTGACAGTAGTTAATGGGATGCTGCTGACAGAGGCAACGGTGGGATGGTTAGACACCAACCACCTACAGCCTGTCTGCTCTTCTTCCTTTGTTCAGGTTGTGTGGTTTGGGACCAGTTGGTTGAAATCTGGGCCTTTATGCTTTTACCCTACTCTGTATGGAAGCTGGATGGTTCACGCCTATCAGTGAAAGTCACTTAAGTCGTAAAATAATGAGTCATCATCATCATAGGTCTCCATGAATCTACCACTTACCTGTTACAGTGCCAGATGGTCCATCATTTGAGCCTCACTATAGGGTTAAACATTGCCCTTCTGCTACTCTATTAAATGCTAACTTTTCTAGAAGAGGTAATATTATTAGATACAAGGTACTGAACCACATGAAAGCACTTAACACTTGGGAGAAAAATGGGTGCTGACTTGATAATTTTGTCTCTGCTCATTTGGACTGCAGAGGTAGAGGGTGAGTACATCTGAGTGTGAAGGGATAAATTAGCGGAAGGATCAGAAGCTGTACTGAACTGGCATCCTCGGTCTGTAGGACTCTTAATTAAAGAATAGTTCAGCTCAGAAAAGAATGAAGCCCCCAGACAGGCTCTATCTTTTCCTTAGCAGAGAGGAGTTGTTGGGGAGGAGAGATGGGGTGCACAGCACAGTTTTAATGCTCCAATGTCTGCCCAAGATGGCCAGAAAGAGTAAAAGCCTTTGGGTTGGGAGTTTAGGGAGCAAAGGAGAGCAATTTTCACCCATTCCCCACCTTTCTCATCACAGGATCATACTTTCCTTACCACCCTTATAGCTCCACTCCCACAGAGTCATGGAGTGTTCACCTGGAAGGGAAGAGGGGCTGTGGCTGGCGCATGGCTAGATGGCAAACGGGCTGCTGTGGGAAGAGCAAATGATGAGGCTCTGTCAAGCACCCTCTCTTTGCTGGGCTTGGCTCTGCTCATCCAGGCTCTAGCTGATTGCTGAGTCCCTTTTGGCCCTGACAGAATGTGATTCTCATATAGATGCATAGGCACCGGCTGGAGCCTCTGTGATACCCAATACTCTGGGTGTTCCAAAACAGCACTGAAATACTGCAGTCTTCTGCTGTCGCTACTGCCTGGAGCTCCCTCTAGTTGACAAATCTATTTCATCTCTTGGTAGGATGCCTTTTCAAACGATTAAGCTGAGGTGCCGCCATTCTGGGGGTGGGAAAAAAGCACCGGCTTTGGAGCCAGACAGATCTGAGTTTGGCCCTGTCTGTTCCTAGACGAGTTACCCAGCAAATTACCTACTTTGCTTCCTCGTGCTGCACTCAGGATTGTGAGGACCAAGAAGAATAATATATGCACAGTGTTTAATACCTAAGCCTCTCAACCACTCTCAAGTTCCAGAAACACTTTGAATCCTTTAATCACAGGTCAGCTGTGATTAAATTCATTCCTTAATTCAGTACATATTTATTGAATGCCTACTACGTGCCAGAGTGCCGGACAGTAGGTGCGTAATGACTCTATGAGCATGAGGATCTCCTTTCTCTTCTGGCACATACTCTCCTGTAGGAGTAATCGGGGAGTAGGGGTAGGAAATGGTCAGGAGCTTGGATGGCAGATTCAGTAAGCTTTTAGCACAATAATTTTAATTGCAAAAATAAACAGTTTTGTCAACTGCTTGAGAGTAGCGTCTGCTTTACAAAAATTAACAACAACAAAAAGGAAATAACCCCAAAGCAAAACATTACAACCAATGGCTGCTGAAAACGACATTGCTGTACAAAATCCCGCGCGAGACCAGCTCGGCGCTGCCCCAGCCTATCTCTGGGGGGCTAGGAGAGGGCGTGGGGCGTGCGCCAGTTACAGAAGATTGTCAAGTCCCAAGGAAGTGCCTGCTCAGTGGGTGGCCTGAGAGAACTTCCCTCCAAAGCGCGGCTGACTCGGGAGATGGCACCCGGACCGCGGGAGCTGTCCACGGAGCTGGTGCTGAACGGGGAGTGTGCGGCGGGCCCTTCTAGGGAACTGGAAGCGGGACCAGAGGCCGGCCTCAGGACGTGCCGGGAAGAAGTGGGAAGAGGAGCGGGGCGGTGGGGCGGGCCAGGTTTTCTTGTGCGCGCCGGGCGGCGGCGCCCCAATCTACAAACCCATTTCACTCTCACAGGGCAGCGAAGGAGAGGCCCAACGAGTAAAAGCCAAGGCCCTTGAGCCGCTCCTCGGCGCGCGCCTTCTGCTTGAGGTGCACCTTGCTGTGCCGTTTCTTTTCATCGCTGCGCGCGAAGCGGCGGCCGCACACGTCGCAGGCAAAGGGCTTCTCGCCCGTGTGGGTGCGCACGTGTGTGGTAAGGTGGTCGCTGCGGCTGAAGTTGCGGAGGCAGATGCGGCACTGGAAGGGCTTGTGGCCCGTGTGGATGCGCAGGTGGCGGTTGAGCTCGTCGGAGCGCGCAAAGCTGCGTACACAGCTCTCCACCGGGCAAGCAAAGGCCTTGGCGTGTGGCCGAGGGCAGAAGCACCGTGCGCTGCACTTGCCGCCCCGGCGCCCCTTGCGCCGCGCCTTAGCTGGGGGTAACTGGGCCGGCGGCGGCGGTCCAGGAGGTTCAGGTACGTCACTGCTCCCGGGGACGTCCGCCACCAGAGGTTTCGGGAAGTCCGCCGCGGAGCTGCGGAGGCCCAGCGGGGAAAGCTGAGGCTGCGTACCATCTAGAAACTCTCCGCCTTCGCCGCTACTCCCTCCCTCCCCACTAGGAGGGGTCAGGAGCCCTGGGAGGCCCTCGGTCCCCTCCCCTAAATCACCCGGAGCCAGCGGGAAAGCGTCGTAGGCCCCCGGGGTGTACAGTCTGCTGGCAGGGCCAGCCGTCAGCTCCGCGGGGCAGCTAATGGACAGCAGGTCTTCAATCTTGGTCCCTATCTGGGGGAAACGGGCCTCCGGGGCGGCCTGGTAGCCTCCCTGTGGCCCACAGCTCCCTGGAGCCCCTGCTGAGAGCAGCTCCCATGGAGCATAGGGACCTTTGAAGGCAGAGGCAGCGTCCAGCGCTGGAGAAGCCGGAGGAGCCCGGAGGCCTGGCTTGACGTCGGGTGGGGAGAGATGAGGCTCGTACAGGCACTGTGAGGGGACGCCTGCCGAGGGCGAGGCCTCCCAAAACGCCTCTGGGAAGGCGGCAGCGCCCAGATCCGGGGAGAAGAGGTCCGGCAGACCCGGCAGCAAGGCGTCGGGGCCTGCGGGAAAAGAGGCGTCCAGCGGAGAACGGGATGCTGCCGCCTCAGCACCCGGGAAAGGTGCCAGGCCTAGGATGCCCGACATGAGGTTGAAGAGTGCCTCTGGGTCGTGCGGGTGTTCGGGTACTGCCTGGATGAAGAAGCTACCACTGTAGCTGAGGCCAGGAGGGGGCGTGGGCGCAGGGCCTTCCAGGAAGCAGGAGTCGGCTAAGTCCCCCCCAGCGCCGCAGCTGCCCAAGGCCCAGCTCAAGAAGTCACCTGCTGAGGAGGGAGCAGGAATCAGCTCCGCGCACATCAAAAGTAGTGCCTCGGAGCCCACAGCCCCTACCCAAGAAGCTCTTAGTGCGCACTGACACACAAAGTGCCTTCTGCACATTTTGATCCAGCCGGAGACGGCATACGCCCCAAGATGCACATACAAACATGCACACGCAAAACACACGTGCACAGGCAAAAGGACGCCTTGATACACGCACAGGTTCCTGCAGAGGCGCTGGCGGCCCTGTGGGGGTGGGATTGGGGGTGCGCACCACAGGACCCCCAAATCTCCTACCGCCCCTACCCCCACAGCTCCAGCGTCCCAGTCCCTGCTTATTCTCAGGCACCGTGCGTCCCCGCGCTGAGCCGCCGTCTGATCACCCCTAGCCGCTCTCCTTACCTCCGGGATAGCCAGCGGCTGCGGGTGGGTCCCTGGCGGGCAGCCGGGGCAGTTCGGTGCTGGGTTCGGAGCAACAGCCCTCGGTGGACTTTACCAGGAGCGCGTCGGGGCCGGAAAACTCGCTAAGGTGGAGCATGGCTGGAGGCAGCTGCGGGGCTCCAGGGGCCTCGCCCGCTGGGCTTGGGGGCGCGCGGATGGCAGGGAGGCCGGCAGTCGGGGCGCCCGGCGCCTCGCAGACACAGGTGCCCAGGCTCCTGGCTCCGGGCTCTCACCTCTGGGAAAGGGGTAGGGGGAGCGAGGCTCCCTCGCTCGCCGGGACTGGCCTCGGGTGGCGGCTCCTCGCCTCTCCAAAGCGCAGCCGGGCTCCCCCAACCCGCGGCCCCCCCACTTATATAGCAGCGGTGGCGCTGGCTCAGGGCTTCCGACTCCCCGGGCCACTGCCATTTCGGGAGGCCCCGGCCCTGCCGCCGTGACGTAAATGCCCAAACATGGACACAGGATGTGTGCCGGGGACTCCCGAAAAGGAAAACTCGGCTGTGACGTCGTCGCCACCGCCGCCGCCGCCGGGCCCGCGCCGCTGCGTGCGCGCGCGCTCCCCGAGCGTGGAGCCCCGTGCGCGCCGGGGCCGCGGGTGCGCCCGGCTGGGGCGCTGCTCCGTGTGGGCCAGATACCCAGTAAGTGCACTTCCCTGAAGACCGAGTGGACTTAGAATTCCACAGTTTGCGGTTTGAATCATCTCTCTGTCACCTAGTAGCTGTGTCATTGAATCTCCCTGAGCGTCAGTTTCCTCACCTGTGAAATGGAGATGTGTATATCTACTTCATAAATTTGCTATAAAGAGAAATGGGGTTAGAGGATATGAAGTTCTAGGCACAGGGGCACTCAATAAACCATAGAGATTATTGCTGTTATGTATAATTTGCTCATATCTGTGTGCTTTTCATTTTCTTAATAGTTTTTTTCAGTTTGTTCTGGAAAAAATAACTTACTTAAATTTAAAAGGACCATATCGTGAGAGAAAAAATCAATTAAAACAGAAGAATATATTCTAAATTGAAAAGTAAGTGTCTCTTTTTCCTACTCACCTCCCTCCTGAGGTAGCCACATCTACTTTCCCTGTGTATTCTTTCAGAAAAAAAAAATACCCTGCAAGCATACATACTGTCCTGCAATAGAATTCTCCCCCACTTATAATTGCTGAAAGATTGCTCCATGTCCAAACATAAAGTGCTTAGCCATTCTTTTCTAAGGCTGTATAGTACTCCACAGTAAGGGAGTTCAGTTTGTCCCCTACCCATTAGCATATAGGAAGTTTCTAACCTTTTGATTTTATTCACGTAGTTTTGTCCTTGAGTACATAAATGTGAATGTGTCTTTGGGATAAATTCCAGCCAGTGTAATTCTGGATCAAAGAGTCTGTAAAATTTTGATAGGTAAGTGGCAGTTGTCCTCCAGAAAAGTAGGGCCAATTCTTGCTCCCTCCTCCCTCACCCACAGGGTATGAGATGCTTCTGTAGTAGACTTTTTTTTTTTTGCCTTCCTGTAAATGACTTACCCCAGGGATATTGTCCCAGGAGCACAAATGGAATCCACAGGCTATATTTCCCTAGAATCAATTCCTGGACTAATTGGACTTCTTCCGCAAAACTTAACAAATAAATTCCCTAAACTTTAAGGAGGCTATGGCTCTTGGCTGCAGAAGGCCAGTCATCTCCAGCAAAGAAGCCTGCCTACTCTCCTAATCTCATCTCTCTTCTGCTGTGGTTTCCCCTCTGTCTTATTACCTCATCTTTTAAAAATTTTCATTTTACTATGTGTTAAAGTTCACTTAACTCCTTTCTGGAACCAAATTAGGGGGTTAAGTAAATACATGGGAAAGGATGTTTTTCTTTATGAAAACAACAATTCTCGGGACTCTGGGCGCCAGAAGGGAGGGAGGGCAGGGCTGGGATTCCCTCCTCCTACTTGACTTTCCCAAGAGTGGGAATAAAGCCATTCAGGGATGATGGGCTAGAGCATGACGACTAACGTATCTCCCAGCCTGCCCTGCCCTCCGGTACTCTCCTTTTCAAGGGAGAAATCCAAAGATGCCCAAATCCCACCAAATTTTCAGGCCTTTCACCCTATATTCATTATCCGAACATTCATTCATTCAATTTCTCAATGTTCATTAATTCACTATTTATTCCTTAAGTGCCTACTGTGGGCCAGAAGGTAGATTCCGGTTTTTATTCCACCCATCTCCATTCCTATCTGCCCTATCCTCCACACCCCACAACAGCCCTGCCAGTGTGTGTGTTTACAGAATGTGCCATCACATAATCACCTATAAAATACATGCTGAAACACTTGCACTCATTTTCTTGTGTCTGGAAATCGTGCACGTGCAGCATGACCTAGCAAATGCCACGGATATAGTTTTATGTTACCAGCAAGCATGTTTCCACGTAGGAAATGCAGAAACCCAACACGTGTCTGTTAAGAACAGACACACAGGGCACTATTTCTTTTATCCTCTATTTCAGACCCTGGGTTTCATTTTAATCCAAATGTATTGCCACGGCCAGCTGAGCCCACACCAGACACACAGGGCACACATGTCTCAACTCCATGCTGGCATCTTGCTGCCTGGGAGGGAAGGGGAGTGGAGGAGTTTGGCTAGGCCAGTGTCCAGGGCGCCCCAGGTTGCCCCGTCGGGCCAGATTGGCCAGCCCCAGGTTCTCCATCCCTCTGCTGTTCCTCCCTCTGCCACAGCATTCCTCTCCCTTCTTAGTCATGGATAATTCCCCTACTCCTTTGGCAAGTTTCCAGGCTATCGCTGCTCTCTGCCAAGGGCTGTTGGGCTAGGTCTCTGTTAAGACAAAAGGTCCAACTTCCTCTTGTTTAAGGCCAGGCCTGGAGACATTGCTGGGGAGGGAGGAGTGAATAGGAGAGGCGACGGGGAACGCAGCTCCCCGTGTGGGCTGGCCCAAATTCCTGCCCCCCACCATTCACCTCCAACAGTCACAGGCATACGCAATGGGCCGTTACCTCTGGAGGTCAGTTGCATCTGCATTTGGTTCCTTGAGGAGGAGGAGGGAATACAGAGGGGAAATGGGCATTTTGTATCCTTTCCCAGCTCAGCTCCTCTTACTCCCAAATTTTAACAGCTTAAAAAGAGATTCTGGGCCCAGATAGAGTAAAGGTCTTTGGGTGGGCATGGAAAAGAGAGGCGCTTAGAACTATGAGCTCCACTTTAATTCACACTTCAAATATGAAAACACTAATTTCCACACAAGGAAAGTGAGAAATCACATACATTGAGCACTCTACAAAGATCATTTAATCATTGCAAAAGTTCTATGGAATAAGGAACTGAAGACCCATTTCACAGATTAGGAAACAGACTTGAAAAGGTTAAATATCTTGCTCAAGGCCACACTTCTGTTCAGTGGTGGGACTAAGAGTCAAGCCCACGCCAGCCTACTCCACCAGATAATTTAGGAAAAGATCATTCACTTTACAAAAAGAATTCGCTTTAAGAATGGCTCTAGGTGGAGAATCTTCCTCTAGCCTTTCAAATGGGGTATGATGTGCAAACTCCATCTGGCTGGTTCCCTTTCCTGCAAGAATTCCCTGGAGTGACTGCCATTAGGAACACTGTGGGTCACATCAGACACGTGCTGAGGAGGAGAGCATCCCTTGGGAGCCAGCGCAGAAACTGGTGGCAGTGGTGGTGGTGGTGGTGTGTGACCTTGGGGAGGGTGAGAAGAAATTTCTGATTTCCATGGGAAAAAAAATGAGAGCAAGCACTGAATAGACAATTCCTGAATGAATTAGTGAATGAACAAACTCATTCATCAGATGTTCACTGAGCCCAGCCCCATGCCCAGTGCTGCACAGGCCCTTTGGATACTGAGACTGGGGCTGAGGCTGATGTCACAGTGGATGAGACTGGAAGGTCTGGATCCAGGGAGGGAGGAGAGGTGAGGGATCAGAAGTACGCTTCCCTTTTCTCCCTTCTGGGAAGGGCCCAGCCCCTGCCATCATTCTGATAATGCTGCAGTCTCCTCCCCGACTCCCCACCTTGATCCTTCTGCTCTAAATATCATTGTGTTCAAATAATAGTGTGTATTTTAAAAGACTCCAAGAAGACAGCTGCCTCAGAGTATTAATCATGAAGAGGCCAGCACTCAGTCTCCATGGCGACTCCTGACAGGATGCTGAGGAGCAGCTCCACGTCCCACTTCCCGGGGCCATGGAGATGCAGGGACACAGCAGCTCTCATGCTTGTCTCTCCTCTCTGCCTCTCCTCTCTCCTCTCTCCTCTCTCCCCTCTTCCTCTCCTTCTTCTTCTCTTCCACCCCCTCTTTTTTTCTTTTCCTGAACGATTTGTTTAAAAGTGGGGACAAAGGCGAGATCCAGCCATCAGACTGACAAGGAATAAACCCATTGAGGCTGCAACAGAGATGATGTTTGCACCCAACTGCCACCTCTGCCATATCCAACTCTCCTCCCCAAGACCCCTGCGCTGCCCCTAGGCTTCACTGATCACGAGGCCAGAAGGAGGCCAGAAGGAGACAAAGGGGTGGGTGGCAAAGGACCCACCACCAGGGTCCTTCTCTGTCCCCCCCCAACCCCGAACCATGTTCAGTTGTTGGTTTATGCTTTGGGTTCCACTATTGTTATTTCTTTCAATGGCTCTAAAAGTAACATAGGCTCATTGGGAAAAGACAAACATGTTAAAATTTATACTTCAAAAAAATAGAAGTATCTCTCCCAATTCTATACCCAGATATATACAATTAAAAAGTTTCAGGTTGGTTTCTATAGATTTTTCTTCATGCATATTCATTCAGCATGATCTATTCAAACATAGCTTCGTTTATCATCATCATTATTTGTACCAATGGTATCATACTATATATACTTCTATAACTAACTTAACATTGTACCTTGAATAGTTTTTCTTTTCCCCCTATTATGATACAGATTAATCTATAGTGTTATTAACATTTGCTCCAGAGTATGCCATCGTGTAGACATATCTAATACTTTAACTTGATAGCTTCGTTTTTCTCACTATTATGAAGAATCTGGCTATGTCTAGCCTTTTGTGTGTCCTTGGTGTGCTGATGGGGGCAATAATGATACAGTATGCTCGCTAACATTTGTATACCACTTACTATGGGCACTGTTTACTACGTACTGAGAGATTTACATACACTTAACCGTTTAATCCTCACAACAGCTTGCTAAGTACTATTACTATCTCTTAGATGTTTCATAGATGGGGAAATTGAAGCGTGAGGAGGTTAAGAAACTTGCCCAAGTTTATAAGGTTACGTTTAATGTTGGTGCCAGGATTTGAACCTAAGCATAACCATAGAATAGATTCCCAAAATTAGAATTCCTAGGTCAAAGGTACAAATATTTAAAATTGCAGTTTGTGTTGTCAAATCCTCCTCTAAAAAGATTGTTCCAATGTGGGGATCAGGCAGCTGCATATGAGGGCCAACTGGTGAGCAGAGAGAGGTACCCCAGCGATATTTAAACTTGTATTGTAAAAATTATCAGTAAGGACAAGAAACTTTTCATAGGGCCTTCATATTTCTTTTTTCTGTGATCTGGGGGCCTAACGCCTCCACCAAAGACGTCAGTGGGAGCCTTCCCCATGCTCCTTCAGCCCCGCACTGGGCACTGGAGATGAGGCTGTTATGGCATGGACTGGCTTGGGGCATGGGATACCAGGGCCTCAGCACCCTCCTTATTTTTGTTCTTTCTAGTTTGGGTCATGAAGGAAGTGGAGAAGAGAACAAGGTGGCTGCAAATTATTCAAGAAGAGCTTCTTAGATTCTTCCAAGGCAGCTTCTAAGCAGTTTTCCCACAGGAGAGAGAGAGATTATTCTTTCTCTTATCTTCCATTCTACATTCCTCCTTGGGCAAAATCAACGTTGGACAGAGCTGATCACAGAAGAGGTGTGACTAAGATGGGTTCTAGGAGGGTCAGAGGCAGGGGGATGGACAGAAGGATATCTGCCTGCTGCTACTCGCCCTGAATTTGGAATCTGCCTCCCACACAACCCTTTGTCTCTAAGCCTGGGTCTCCCTTCACGGCCAGTAATGGACTTGGGTCTTTTCTTTTTAAAGAAGAATTTTTTTTAATTTGTTTATTTATTTATTTTTAGTAGGGGGAGGTAATCGGGTTTGTTTGTTGCTTGTTTGTTTTAATGGCAATACTGGGGCTCGAACCTAAGACCTCGTGCATGCTAGGCATGCACTCTACCTCTGAGCTGTACCCTACCTCCTGGACTTGGATCTTGATGTGTGTTTTTATTTAATCAGGTAGAGGTGTTCAGAGCGTTGGTTTTCAGTTCATGAGCTGAGAAGGCAAAAAAGAGGCTGAGGGTAGATCGAGAGGCATATAGGTCTAGAACAGGGCTTAAATCAGAAAGAAGCCTGTTAGACCTCCCTGGCTTGCTTCTCTACTCCCTGGCCTCTTCCTGCTTCCTCTCGCCGGAGCTCACCCCACTGTCTTTTACCTTCTCTCCTCCTCCATCTTGTAATAGTTTTCCTTAAGCTGCTTTGAAGTAGATTGGTTCACGTGCTGGGATCTGACAACACAACTCCAAAATAGTCAAGCAGTTTATCTACCGATGGGCCACTGAGCTGCAGCCTGAGTCCTCTGTGTGACCCTGAACCCTGTCCACCACTACACTAGGCTTCTGGGTGCAAGTGTTAGAAATGCAACCTGAATTAGTTTAGAACAAAAAAAGAAAGAAAGAAAGAAAGGAATTTATCAGCTCACAGAATCCGAAGGAGCGTCAAACAACCAACCTGCGAGAGCAGGGACGCAGCTGGTGTCAGGAGCTAGTGGGACCAGGGGCAAGGCGGTTTTCAAATACTCTCAGCTCTTCTTCTTTTTTCTCGCTGATGCCCCAAAACCTGGCCACTAGCAGATTCTGTGTCTCCATGTCCACCTGCTGTGATGAATGGATTCTTGTTCTCAGTTTCAGTTAGGAAATCCCAAGAAAGACCTCTGCTGTCCTCCCTGGGACAGTTATCTGGCTAGGGGGCAGGTTAATATAGCTGACAAGACCACCAGGGGCTTGCATCTGTGTTTTGAGAGCCATTCCCAGGGAAGAGGAAACCAGTGGGAGCCAGGAGGCCTCCCAGGAGGCCTCTGTCTCGGGCCCTAAGGGCAGGAGCTGGAGAGCACTGGGCCAGCTCTCATAACAGGGGCAGAAATGGATAGTTCCCTCCGCGTAGCAGTGCCCCTGGAGCAAGTCGCCTGCTCCATCTGTCTGCCAGCTCCAAGGAACACTGCCCAAAATAAAAGTCCCTAATTAGCAATTCCTGCAATCCAGAGCAAAACAATGTATTTGTTTCCGAGAATAATCTGGAGCCATATTTGGCTTGGCAACCAGCGGGTCCTACATATGCATGCAGTGTGTCATGTGAAGACTCCTGCAGGGACCTTTCCTCAGTCAGGGCATGAGGGCTGAGGCCTTGGGGGGTCCCCTGTCCAGGTAGCAGCAAGCAGGGGCCCAGAAAAGAACCGGCTTTATCAATCATGTACAGCGGGTTTCTGGCACAGAGAGGTAGGGGATGCAAGGAACTTCAACAGGACTTCTAAATACCAGTCCCCATAAAGGCCAAACTAGGGACACCTGGCCTAGAGGGTCATGGAGAATCCCATAATGGAGTAGTGACCTCAAGCCTGGGGGTCAGGGGAACTGATGCCAATCCAGCTCTCCTGTTAGCTTGTTCTGTGACCTTGAACAAATTTCCAGTCCTTTCTGTGCTTGCGCTTCCTCACCTGTGAAATGGGGGTGTTATCTACCTATGGCCTGAGGCCTAAGAGCTAGAATGAACAAATTCGGCAGTTGAAGCACAGGCACCTTCTACAGCTATGAGAGGTGATGTGAGAAGCAATATATCCAGTTAAGAAATAGTGGATAACCCTGCTGGCCCCAAATGTGCTCCCTATGTTTTCTGGGCACCTCTTTATATGAGGGTGGGATTGGATATCATGACCTGAATTTGATGACTGGCTCTTCCCTTCCAGTCCTTGCTCTCCTTCGTTCATTTATTCATTCATCTAAATATTTATTGAGGACTTAACATATCAACGCCTCATGTGATGTGTGATGCATGTGAAGCTGGGGGAAGGGCAGGTTGATTTGGGATCATAGATTGAGGCAGGAGATAGTCATCTAGCCAAAAAATTGGGGGGAGGCATCCTCAAGGAATTGACATTACAATTGAGACCAAGAAATTGAGTAAAATGTTAGCCAAGAAAAAAGGAAAGGTGGAGTGGGGACAATGTTCTAGGCAAAAGGACAGTATGTGCAAAGGCCAGAAGATGAGAGAAAGAGGGGTGGAGGAGAAAGAAGGATTCAGGGAACTGAAGGAAGTCCATGAAGGCTGGGGTATCAGGAGTAAAAGAGGCTCAGAAGTGAAGAAATGGGATCAGGCTGGAGAGACAGGCAAGCTCAGGATCATGGAGACCTTTTAAAGCATGTTTGGGCATCTGGACTCTATCCCTAGGGCCATAACATGCCTTTGAAGAGATTTAAGCTGTGCAGGAGATGCGGGTTTTATTTCAGAAAAATTTGTCTGCCTCCTGCCTTCCCTGAAAAATTGGGGAGGATGACCTGGAGGGGAGATCAGTTAGGAAGGAGGCTGCTGCAGCAATTCAGGTGAGAGAGGTTCGGGAGGCCTGAGCACTGGTAGCAACAGAAAAGGAGAAGCTTTCAGAGTCAGCCGCCATTCAGGAGCTAGTCAATAATGGACATATGTGGGCGGTTAGTGACACGTGGGGCAGAAGGGAGAGGAAGGAATCGGAGTTGACTCTCTGGTTCTGGGTTTGACAATGAGATAGTCATTTATTTAGGTGGAGAATCGGCAAGAAAAGCAGAGTCCTCTAACCAAACATATCCTGTTTTGTTTATGGAGCTATAATTTACATACTGTAAAAGGAGCAGCTCCTAAGTGTACAGTTTGATGACTTTTCACCCAAATCAAGATACAGAACATTTATATCCCCTGGAAAGTTCCCTTGTACCGCTTTCAAGTCAGTGTAGCCACTTTTCTCAATTCTATCCCTTGTAGATTAATTTTGCCTGCTCTTGAACTTCAAATACATGGAACAATTCGGTACATACATTTTGTGTCTGGTTTCTTTTGCTCAACACAATGTCTATAAGAGTTGTCCACTCCATGTTTTGCATGTATCAGTAATTTATTCTTTTTTAAAAATCATTGACTGATATGCCATTGTTTGAACATATCACAGCTTGTTTATGCAGTCTCTATTGATGGAAGTAGGTTTTCGGGTTTTTGTTGCTGTTGTTTGTTTTTATGTTTGTTTGTTTTGAGGAATCCAACAGGAAAATGATTTAGAAATGAATGACAATGAAACAATAAAACAGTTATTAACTCTTGAGCCCTACTATATAGCTTTAAAATATATAAATAAAAGCTATGAGTAAAAGATCTCATTTATGTCAGCAAAATAAAGAAACTTTATAAAAATCTAGTAATAAACTCAAGAATGTATAAGATGAATATGCAGAAAACTATACAATTTTCTTGAAGGACATTAAAAAATAGAATAAGTGGGGAATGTTCATAGCAGCACTATTTACAATAGCCAAGGCATGGAAACAGCCTAAATGTCCATCAACAGACGACTGGATAAAGAAGAGGTGGTATATTTATACAATGGAATACTACTCAGCCATAAAAACAGACAATATAACGCCATTTGCAGCAACA